GGTGTAATCCGCAATCGCCGCCAGCAGTTACATATGTAAGACGTGACAACGTTGCGTGGTTGGGGGCGCTACTGTCGATTTACTGGTGATGTGATCCGCAATCCCGCCAGCAGTAAAGCAGACGACGTCGGTCTACTTGCTCTTTTTCGTGACATTTTCTGAATGTAAACAAAGCATATTGTGCTAGACGTAAACAAACACACGGACCAAAAAAAATAATTTCAAGTGCCAAAAACAAAAATGAAAATAACAGCTTTACTGCTGGCGGAATTGAGCGGGATCACAGCAAAAATAGAAATAACAGCTTTACTGCTGGCGGGATTGCACGGGATCACAGCAAAAAAGTCACGAAAAAGACCAAGTAGACTGACGTCGTCTGCTTTACTGCTGGCGGGATTGCGGATCACATCACCAGTCAGCGTTGGGTTAGGCAGATTCAATATCGGAACTTTTTCCGTAGGTCGTATATATAGCTAAACGATCTATAGGGAGAACGTTCCGTCGAGCAGACAGCACAGCAGTGAAAGGGTATTGCCAAAGACATACGCGGAAATTCAAAATTGGAATATTAATAACACAAGTGCCTATCACCCAATGACCCGGGGCGCTTACTGGCCACTCTGTTAGATAAATAATTATTAAAATAACACAAGTGCCTATCACCTCATGACTCGGGGCGCTTACTGGCTACTATTGAATAATAAATTATCAAGGAATTACAAGAGCACTATTTAAAAAGATCTTTGTCGTACTAGATAGGCAATCAAAATTGTAATATGTTTACATATGTTATCGATCAACTTTTTATTATTTAATAGTGTTGCAAATAAGTGTCCTGGATCATCAGGAGAAAGGTGCTTGACATATTTATTAATAATTATTTATTCACTAGATTTGCAATTAGCGCCCCAGGTTATACGGTGATAAGTGCTTGTGTTATTAAAAATGATTTATTTAACAGAGTGGCCAGTTAGCGCCCTGGGTCATCAGGTGACAGGCGCTTGTGTTAATAATTAATACTTTATCATTTAATAGAGAGGCCAGTTAGCGCCCCGGGTCATTGGGTGATAGGCACTCGTGTCATTAATATTACAATTTTGAATTTCCGCGTGTCTTTGGTAACGCCCCTTCACTGTTGTGCTGTCTGCTCGACGGAACATTCTCCCTAGATCGTATAGCTATATATACGATCTAGGGAAAAAGTTCCGATATTGAATCCGCCTAACCCAACGCTGGCAATCTCTCTACTCATCTCTGGACTGGGAGCCTTGTCTGTGCACTGCGCTTGCGGCGAACTCCCGAAAATCTGGTAGCGTGGGAGCCTTGCGCACAGTAAACAGGTATCAGGTATCCGAAAATAGACAGACATACAGACAGACAGAGAAAGTAATGCACACGAATGTATTGTTAAACATGCATTATGTATCAACCTATGCGTAGGTTGGTAATATAACACACTCTTTATCCTGTATTATTGTTCTTTCTCGTTCTCGTTGTTTAAATGTTGATGAATAAAAAAAAATAATAATAATTGAATATTTGCTTTTTCCTTATCAATAGTATTTACTGATAAAAATACGTATTCGTAAATAAACTCTAAATTTAAATAAAAAATGTAAAATAAATACCACTAAGTTTAATAATATATTATTTGATGTTTCACATCTGTCAGAGGTCCTGAGACTTACACCTGTTTTTTTTTAATCATATTTTTTTATTATTATAAAGAACTTCGTTTATTTCATCTTATGCCGTTTTAACATTTATTTACAATAACTAATAATTATTATCGTTTCATCTCTTTAGAAAATTTTGAATCTATTTTATAGTACCTGTTGTGTATAAACAGGGAATGTAGAAAAAAAATACTTCCCTTTGGATCAGTGGCTCAAGAACACCTTAATTTTTTTCATGTGAGTTTGTAATTTTAACATTAAAATTTGTTTAAAATATATTCTGTACCATAGCACAAAATTAATGCAGTTGTACAAAAGCCCCTGTAGTTATGAGGAAATGAGATGTACCTTTTTTCTTATCTTCCCAGAACATAACTTGCATCTGGTTATACGGGAACAATAGACTAGATACTCTTGCAAAATTCGAAGTAAGAATACACGTTTATACTTTTTTGTTTGCGTTTAGGTGTCTTCATTTTTCTATAAATTCTTTACACTTCAAGTTATCATTGTTTTCATAATAAAGTAAATTGCAATAATTGCTGCACAAATGAGATCGACAGATAGTGGGAGAACTTTATACTCTTCGCCGCTTTTCACAATCTATAGCTGTATTTTGTAGATGTGTGATCGTGACCTTACTAATGCTGTTTCCCGTGTTTCGTGCATGGGGCACGCAACCCCATAACTATATTTATTGAATACATGGAATGGCAGTGTTAATAGATTATCTATACTTTAGAAACATCTTCAGTATTAATTTCATTTTTGATGCTCAAAAAGCAAGCTCCAGTTGAGGAATTTTTTTTTCCACTAAATAAAACACACAACATCCCATATTGCTTGGTGTGTTTCCAAAGTTTTTCAATCCACTTATCAACAGAATGTAGAGTTTTAGCAACATTGTCTTCTGCTAAATCATCATTATTCAATGTAACATGAAGGAAACTAAGAGCATGCTCTGCTGCCACCTGTGAACACCTCTTTACTAATTCACGATTGCTTTCCGAGATTACAAGACGCACGTGATCCCCAACTTGGAAGTCATTACCATACGTTATTTTTAAGTTCGAATTTTTCATAAATTTAGAATAATTATTCATTACTTCTGTGCATCCAAAAATCCCTGCAGTTTTGCTGTGCCCTGTTTCAGCATTGGTAGTGCGGTTAAAAATTGAAGATCCCACAGTGAAATTACAATTTTCGTATTTTGATTTCATAGTTCTTTTGTCTTTTTTTAACTCAGACATATAAGAGCTAAAATGTGACTTCTCTATTAATATTGAATCACCAAAATCAATACTGTTGGCCAACTTGAGCTGAACCAATTTTAAAGAAGCTGTAGCATCTTCCGCTGAACAGTGTCCAGCTTTATTATTTTGAATATTTTCATTCAAAAACGTCGAGGCAAGTACCTTCAATTTTGTTTTTCGATATCTGTCTCCTGTAACATTAAATATTACTGCTGTATCAATTATATATGGGTGCATCATTTTCAAAGCATTGAAGTCTGAATTAAGGCTCTGTCCAACAATGATTGCGTCAGCAGGAAGGAAAATTCTTATAAAGTCTTGTACATCAGATAATCTTGTTGTGACCTTTTCTAACATATCTTTGGTAATACCACTATAGGGAGTAAGATAATCTGTAATTTTATTGTCTGGTTTGACAAGAGTATCATAAACTACATTTAATGCTTCATCTACAATAGATATTCTGGTCAGTTCTAGTGAACCCAAAGTTGTCCTACACATCTCACAATCTATACCATACATTTTTGATTCTGAATTTACCTCAGCATATGTATCTTTAGTCATTACATAATTCTCATACTTTTTAGCAAGACCACCTTTCAGCGGAATGGGATAATTTTCTTCTATAAGTTGATAAGGTGAAAGTAACAACTCAGTCCTTGGAAACTTGTCAGTTGCTGGCAAACGAACATTTTCTTTTGTATCAACATTTGAAGCTACAATGTAAAAAAATATATGTGACATCTTATGTAGTAATAGTATCCATAAATAAGAATTAAAGGCATTATTTTAGTATCCTGAGGGGTAGGGATAGATTTTTAGTATATATTACCATTTTAGCTTTTTGATTGTTGTATTTTTTAAATACACATTACTCCTTTGTGCCACAAAACACTAAATATAACCATTTTTATAGAGAAGTAAAGCCAACGCTATACAGCTTACCTGTTTGCAAAGGAAAAATCGCTTTGAAAAGTTTTACTATGTTTTGATTCTTTTCCAAAGCTAGTTCTATAGAGCCAAATTTTCTAAGTAACCGAGATTTCTCTATTCCAGTAAGGGGTACAGCAACCAGTTCTTCAATGATCGAGCCACCATACACTGCAGGAGTAATAAGCTCTAACCCATAATCTAACTTGGAAGTGAGGTGTTGAAAAATCGACTGATTGGACACATAGTGATCAAGGGACAGCCCTTCCAAAATGCAGACAATGGTATGCTTGACTTGGTTATACTTCTCAAGTTTGCACCACCTATCGGGCAGATAAGGCGATTTGTTGCCCATAACACAATACAACAGCAAGTGTTGAATATCCTTGAGAAAAATGGGAATGCGGTCCTGAACATTGACGCTTATGTTTGCACATTCACCTACACCTAACAGCCTGAATCGGGGAATTTTAAGGAAATTTTTTTTTTGTCTTCGAAGCTTTTCTTTGAGCGCCTTCAAACTATTTCCGGAAAGTCTTGGTTTTTTCACCTTTAAGTAGGTTGAGAGCGTGTTGTTTTCCATAGTAAACGTATTAGCCTTTGAATCAAGTTATAACTTGTGTGCTTGATTTTTTGCAAGACACAATTTCAACACAGAAATCTTAATGTGCACATACACTCTGTAAATGGTAAAATTACCAGTGGAATCATAAAAGAAAAAAAGAATGTAGGTATTAATCAACAATACAAGTAATTTCTAACCGTTTTCAATCTCAGGAAAATATCTTTTCTGAACTTTTTTTTTTGATTTTTTTTTTTTATCATGAAGAAAGGAAAGATTGTTTTTAATTTTATTTTATATTTTTTTTTTTTTCCCCGTGTTACTCATAAGAGGCTATTCACAGTTAAGTGAGACAGCAAAAACTATAAGGGCCCATACAGCAAGCTGCCGTAACGCACAACCGCAGATTTATAAGAAATAGACTGCTCGTTCTCATGTACGGCGCAGAAGCACAAGTAGAAAGAGACGCAACATCGAACATGTATATATGTCTCTCTTGCACGTTGTCAACGGTGGGGGTCAGTAAACTAAAGCCAGCTGATGCAAGAAATTATTTGTACAAGAAATTAAATTAAAGTAATAAGTGTAAGACGGAATTTTTTTTTACAAAACTTTATTTCATCAATAAATCGTTCAATAACTTTTAATATTTTTTAATCCGTCGCACTAGACTTTACAATCGATGCCTAGGGGCAACGTACAAACAATCGTCTTTTTTTACAATTATACAAGGATATCGGTCATGTAATTTTTGATAAGAGATAACTTTTTTTTCATTTATATTTTTGAAAACGCTATAAGCAAAAAAATGCGTATCGAAGCCAATTATTTTGAATTGAACGTATAAGAAGTATATTTCATCTTCAACTTTGCAAATTTCTTGCACTTCTCAAAATTCAGGATTATTTTCTCCGATACAAGCTACTATTACAGTTCCTAATTTATATGTTACATCATTAATAAGTACTTTAGTTAAACAACATTTGTTTTAAAAAGAGGGAAAAAAGAAGAAATAATATCATTAGACACGACAGCACCGTATTCGATATTCATTTTTTTGTATGATATAAAAGAACAATTAATTAATTTTAAGAAATACCTAGTAGCAATAGTTTTCAAAATATTTATCCTAGAACTTTGAGCTTGTACAATTGCTTTTAACTCTTGGTGCTTGGATTCAAATCTCAATCCAGAAATTTTGATCGTAGGACCATTTTGTAATATAATACGAATATAATGAATTAACAAATGAAATTTCGGTTTTCAATGGTCATACAAATTGAAATACAATGTATGGTGTTCACTTATATACAACTCTAACTGAAAAAGATCGGTCTTAGTTATTGTAGGAGATGTTAAAATGTTGATGATATTTCGTAAAAATATATACAATTGCCATGCGCTATCAGTATGAGGCACTTTATTCGTTAAACTTCGTTTTCAAAAATATAAATGAAAAAAAAGTTATCTCTTATCAAAAATTACATGACCGATATCCTTGTATAATTGTAAAAAAAGACGATTGTTTGTACGTTGCCCCTAGGCATCGATTGTAAAGTCTAGTGCGACGGATTAAAAAATATTAAAAGTTATTGAACGATTTATTGATGAAATAAAGTTTTGTAAAAAAAAATTCCGTCTTACACTTATTACTTAAATTTGATTTCTTGTACAAGTAACGACAGCAATGCTGTCACCCTTCAAAGTAAAATGATAAACATCAT